TGTACCCAGTGCCTCCCTGTGTCCTTCCATGCTCTACCTAACTTACACAATCACACAGTTATCAGTAGGGCCTCTTTCTTGGCTCCTGTGTTACTGAACCAAAGTCTTGCTCACTAGATTGCAGGTCTGTTGCTGTTTTCATGTTACAGGCCTCTATTTAGGCCTGCTGACTCCATGTTACTGACCCTCAACTTACTACAGTGATCAACATCTCAATGTCTAGTTGGCAGCTAGTTGGCACAAATCTGATGAGGTTCAACAAAGACAAGTGCAGAATCCCACACTTAGCTGTGGAGAATCCCATGCATTGAAACAGTCTAGGGACCAACTGGCTAAGCACCAGTTCTGCAGAAAAGGACCTATGGATTACAGCATATGAGATATGAGTCAACAGTGTGCCCTTGTCCAAAAGGTTAATGGCCTATAGGGCTACATTAATAGGAGCATTGCCATCAAATTGAGAGAAGTGATTATTCTCCTCTATTAGCACTGATGAGGCCACATCTGGAGTATTGCATCCAGTTTCAGGGGGGAGGGGCACTACAGAAAGGATGTGGACAAACTGAAGAGATTCCAGCAAAGGGCAATGAAGATGATTAGTGGACTGAAGAGAGACTGAGGGAAAATGAGGACTGATACCACCATGGTGGTTAAAGTGCCATGGGAGAATTCATCCATGCTAATGAGACCAGTCACCTGTTTTCAATCTGTCTAAATCAAACAGGATGGGAAAATATTTGACAAACTGTGCATTCTCTGGATCCTTTATAGGGAAGGCAAAAAGAGTGTCTCAGTGGGTTTGGCTGAATTTTATGTTTATCATGGCCTGGATGAGTTCTGAGAGGGTTAGTTTGGCAAGGGGAGTAATGGAGGAACATATGTTGATGTCAGTTCTCAGTGATGATCAACGCTATTCTAACAAGCATGAGAAACAGCAGGGTTTCATTTTTATTAAACCCAGGGGTTGCCCGTGAGTATAGGCCGACTTGGCTGTCGCCTAGGGCGCCGCCTTCAATGGGGCGGGGCGCCTGATGTTGACGTCACACAATTAACGCCATTGATGGCGATGCAGGAGGGGGCGCCGATCGCGCATTCCACCTGGGGCGCCAGCTGCCGCAGCCCGCCTGAGGCCACCCCTGATTATACCTAGATTATGCTATAAAACTGTGGCAGAAAATATCCTATTTAGAGACAATGTCTGTCCTCAGCTATCTATATGAAGCTTTTTCAGTGGAATTTGTGTGCACATATCTGAGGGTAAAATTTGGCCCTGTAAACTGATGCACTGACATGAGAGAAGTATGAGATTTATGTCTTGACTGCATATAACTAGTAACTTAATATCTTTTCTTCTGAATTTTCACATCTGTCTTTTCTCTATGCTTCCTCATCAATTGTCTTTTTCTCCCTCATCCAAATCCTATATATAACGATGATAACACATGATATGTAGAACACTTTTTCTTCTATCATCTTTTATCAAAGCTCTAAGCCAAATATTTCCTTCAGATATCTGCATGTTTCATGTCAAACGAGTGGTGCACATGTATACACCCCAGAATTCACTCTGACCTTTTGCGTAGCTATGTATTAGTGTTGTGAATAGTTTAAACTGAGCAAATAGAAATTTAAAAAACAGAAAGTCAAATAGAAAGTTAGAAGAAAGCCTAATTTCGCTATGTTGAAAGAAACTGCAAACATGTGTCTCACATCTCACAGCTGAGAATCTGGTAACTGTACAATACACGTTTTCTCTCTATAGCATTCTGACTCGAATTGTAACCTGAAGAAGCGAATGAACTCCATGACCTCTCAGATGGACCAGTCCCCTAAAGCCAGCATCATTTCTAACAGTGCATCTCAAAATCAACCAACACCTATTCCCCCACAAGCTCCCCCACTGCCACCACCACCAGCAATTGGAGGCACCAGTAAAATAGACCAATATTCCAGGATTCTCTTTCCAGTGGCATTTGCAGGATTCAACTTGGTATATTGGGTTGTTTACCTTTCAAAAGACACTATGGAAGTAAGTAATCGTATCTAATAGTTGTTTTAACTGTTACAGAATGGAAGTCTGCTTTAGAATCCTAGGGCTGGAAGAGACCTCAGGAGGTTATTGAGTCCAGCCCCCTGCCCAAAGCAGGACTGACCTTAACTAAATCATACCACTCAGGGCTTTGTTAAGCCAGGATTTAAAAACCTCTAGGGATGAAGAGTCCACCACTTCAGTGGCCAGTATTTTTTTAAAATGTAGCCTTAGCTCTTCAATTACTCAATTCTTTGCAGCATGGAAATGTGTAATAACATAAATTAGCAACCAGTGAGAATGGAGTTTTGAAGACAAGGAAATAATGTGATTCATAGAGAATAAATTAAAAATCTTTTCTTTTGACCTAATGCTGAACTAGTATTTGTTGCAGTCGTGCAATAAAGGAGATAAAACCTCTACTATCTCCCATGATTGCCTTAAGAGGATAAGTTTATTTGCATTATCTCCTTAAAAAAAAGGAAAGAAAAGTTTAAGATACATTCTAAATATTAAATGGGGGGAGGAGAGGGAGAATGGCTGCACTTGCATTGTACACTCTCTAAATATCTTCTATTATGTGTATAACATATATTAATATATGATGCATCTTATTTACTTCAATAAAGTTTGAATGCGCACACACAGACATACATGCACGTGCACCACACTGTCCCCTTTTGCTTGACTCTGTTTTAAAAATATAGCCTTATTTGCATTAAACTGCACAATGTATTAGTGTTCCCAGCTTCATTCCTAGTGGTGTGGAAAAGATACATATGATGCAAATTGAATGCTCCTTGGATAATGATTGGCTTATCATTCTCAGGCAGTCATTAAAATCATAAATCTTTCTTCTAATGTCTTAAATTTTCCTGTAAACTTATTATTTTTCTCTTAATTACAGATGATGAGACAAAAGAATGATACAAACCATAAGGTGTAAACTTAGTTGCTATGTTACGAATACACTTAGCATGTGGTTACAGAAAGAATAGCTACATTTGGACATTATTGAATACACAACAAATAGAGTATATATTTCTGTTTCACACACACATGTATGCACATGCTAATCAGAAATATTCAGGTTCCCCTAAAGCAAATCTATACAATGTATAACTATTACATACACTGGTAATATAGAATAGTGATAGAAATGTAGCCGTGTTAGTCTGGTGTAGCTAAAACAAAATACAGGACTATGTAGCACTTTAAAGACTAACAAGATGGTTTATTAGATGATGAGCTTTCGTGGGCCAGACCCACTTCCTCAGATCAAATAGTGAAAGAAAATAGTCACAGCCATATATACCAAAGGATACAATTAAAAAAAAAAGTGAACACATATGAAAAGGACAAATCACATTTCAGAACAGTGCCTGTGAGATAATGATATTAGAGGTGGGGAAGGGTAGATGTCTGTGAGTTAATAGTGTTAGAGGTGATAATTAGGGAAGCTATCTTTTTAATGGGTAAGATAGCTGGAGTCTTTGTTCAGGCCTCCAAGGAGAGTGTCGAATTTTAGCATGAATGCCAGTTCAGAGGATTCTCTTTCAAGTGCAGATTTGAATGTCTTCTGAAGTAGGATGCAGGTTACTGGTAATATAGGGCATTTTAACCTCCCTGGATATTCAATAATGAATTTAAAAGTAGACATCCTTCTACAAAATAAATAAATAAATAAATAAATAAATAGATCACCTGATTACAGAGGGAGACATCTGAACTGGAGTTCATTTACTAGTTCAACACTGTCAACCCAGGCTTGAATAAAGATCTTAAACTGGTTAATGCACTACAAGGTCAACTTCCCCGTCTTTGATATTTGCATTTTTAATTCACATTCTATAAATGAGAAACATCCAGCCTGACTTAACACTGGTCCTACAATTGTTAGGTAACTTGTATTGCTACGCTATATACCCCGGATTCTGTAATTTCCACTCCAACTCATCTGGTGAAGTGGGTTTTACCCATGAAAGCTCATGATCTAATAAATCTGTTTGCTTTTAAGGTGCCACAGGACTGCTCATTGTTTCTGGTAGTATGGGAGGAGGGGCGGGCAGGTCCTCAGCTATTTTAAAGTGGTGTAAATTCCACTGACTTTATTGGAGGTTTTCTGATTTGTCTCAGATGAGGATCTTGCTCTAAAATTATAATTTCAGATATGGAAAATGAAAGACTATTGGTTTTCCCACAATATTTATGAAAAATTTATATTTTAATTAATATCTATGAACCATAAATATAAAACCTAAACTTTGAAGGCTTCTCAAATAGTGCTGACTGCAATTATTTTTCATTTTTCACTTTTAAATGCTCCCAAAAGACACACATCTGAGAAATTATTTTCAATACTAGCCTTACAATATGCAGAAATTCTGAATCAGAACTACAAAAAGGAGAAACTTAAAAAACAACTAATAGTCTAGCAGCACCTTAACGACTAACAAAACATGTAGATGGTATCATGAGCTTTCATGGGTACAACTCACTTCTTCAGATGACTGGAATATTAAAAGTCCAGATCCAAGAATAAATAAGGAAAGGCGGGAGAAGAGGGAGGAAAAGAAAAAAAGAGAAAAAATAGTGAATTGGATTGATCAAGTTACAAGAGGCTGATAAGAACAATTTGCAGAATATTGATACTTGGTCTGTTTCAAATAACAAAGGGTGCGTCTAGACTGGCAAGATTTTGAGCAAAAGCAGGAGTCTACACCGTCCGCTTGAATTTGCGCAAGAACACTGACTTTGTAATGTACATAATCAGTGCTTCTTGCGCAAATACTTTCATGCTCCCGCTCGGGAAAAAGCCCTCTTGTGCAAGAAAACTTGTGCAAGAGGGCCAATGTAGACAGGGAAGAACTGTTTTGCACAAAAAAGCCCCGATGGCTAAAATGGCGATCGGGGCTTTCTTGCGCAAAATCGTGTCTAGACTGGCCACAGATGCTTCTGCGCAAAAGCACTTTTTGTGCAATAGCATCCATGCCAATCTAGACGCACTTTTGTGAAAATACTTTTAGTGGAAAAACTTTTCCGTTAAAAGTATTTCTGCAAAATCTTCCCAGTCTAGACGCAGCCAAAGAGTTTAATCACAAAGTATTTTTCAGACCTCTCCATAAATTTCATTTTGCTTTTTTATTTACTCATTTATGAAGAGTAATGGCTTTGATATTCACTGTTAGAATTACAATCTATTATACTATCTCACTAACTTTTTATTATGGTCTTAAACACCTATAGTCATTTTGCTTTATTAATTCTAGCTACTCAAGACATAAGTGAATTCTGCAGAGCCCGGGCCATATAAATAGGCCAAATGCAACACAACTGCAGAATCAGGCCTAAATTTACTAACAAGGGATGCACTACTGAAATAAATTGTTTTAACAAATTAAATCCTGCCATAACATCTTTGAATGTCATTTATATTTTTCACACCCTGACTACATTAGATCGGCATATACAGGCAGTCCCCTGTACAAGGGTTACGTACAAGATAGGGACTGTAGGTTTGTTCTTAAGATGAATCTGTATGCAAGTCGGAACTGGCATCAGCTGCTTCTGAAACTGATCAGTTTCAACAGCGGCTGAATCTGGACGCCAGTTCTGACTTACATACGGATTCAACTTAAGAAACCCAGGCGTTCCCAAGTCAGCTGCTGCTGAAACTGATCAGTGGCTGATTCCAGGAAGTAGTCAGCCCCTGTCAGCCCCTGTCAGCCCCTTCCTGTAGTCAGCCCCTGGTCATTAAAAAATGCAAACACTCTTGCAAGATGTCGTTCACTTGTGAAGCCCGTGTGCTAAAACTATAGCTTCCATATTATAGTGAATCAGAACTTATAAGGGTTTGCATCTGGGTTCTCTTGTGGGCCCTAATCCTGCAGAGTATGTAAGTACATGTGTAACTTTGCTCTATAGTTAGTGGAGCTGTTCACCAGTTCTACAAAGCACTTAAGCACATTTGTGATGGGGGACGTATCTGAAGCAGCACGGATCTCCCTAGTCCCTGATTATATTACTGAAGGGATATTTGGATAATTTTAAGGTATTTATTTTTAAAAAAGATGTAGTAACTAACTGATTTTAAAAAATCAGTATTGTTATATAAAAATATGCCTAGCCTGCCATTTTTTGAAAGTAAAACTCAATGAATTAAATGTGCAACTTCTTTGAAGTAGACATAATTCTCCTGATTAATCTCCATTGACTTCTTACACAAGTTACAGGCAGTCCCCGACTTACGCGGATCTGACTTATGTCAGATCCGCACTTACGAACGGGGCTTTTCTCGCCCCGGAGCTCACGGGCAGCGGGTCGCCACCCGTGTCCTCCGGGGTGAGAAAAGCTTCTCCCAGTCTCCCTGGTCTGCTGTGGGGGTCCAGCGGCTTTGCTGGACCCCCACAGCAGACCAGGGAGACTGGGAGAAGCTTTTCTCACCCCGGAGGACACGGGTGGCGACCCGCTGCCCGTGAGCTCCGGGGCGAGAAAAGCCCCGTTCGTAAGTGCGGATCTGACATAAGTCAGATCCGCGTAAGTCGGGGACTGCCTGTAACTTGTGTAAGAAGTCAATGGAGATTAATCAGGAGAATTATGTCTACTTCAAAGAAGTTGCACATTTAATTCATTGAGTTTTACTTTCAAAAAATGGCAGGCTAGGCATATTTTTATATAACAATACTGATTTTTTAAAATCAGTTAGTTACTACATCTTTTTTAAAAATAAATACCTTAAAATTATCCAAATATCCCTTCAGTAATATAATCAGGGACTAGGGAGATCCGTGCTGCTTCAGATACGTCCCCCATCACAAATGTGCTTAAGTGCTTTGTAGAACTGGTGAACAGCTCCACTAACTATAGAGCAAAGTTACACATGTACTTACATACTCTGCAGGATTAGGGCCCACAAGAGAACCCAGATGCAAACCCTTATAAGTTCTGATTCACTATAATATGGAAGCTATAGTTTTAGCACACGGGCTTCACAAGTGAACGACATCTTGCAAGAGTGTTTGCATTTTTTAAATATCTACTTTGTGCAGTCAGATCTCATAATCTGAGCAAGACTAGTCTGGTGAAGTAATTGGATGAGAGACCTTTAAGAAAATAATACAGTACATGTTACAATAAGTGGTTTAGGTATTTTAGAAAGTGGTACTTTTACCCCACCACTAGTCTGTATTGAATCAAAATGGTTCCAGTATGTTTGAGGGTGGAGAGTGTAACTAGAACTAATAGGTCAGTTCCTCAGCTGATTTAAATTGAATGTAGCTCCATTGAGCAAGGTCAATAGAATAATGCCACTTTGAGCTAGCTCAGAAACTGGCCAACCATTTTTAGATGAGACATAAAAGCAAGCTCTGAATCATTTGTAAAAGATCCATGGCAGTTTTTGAAAGAGCATGTGAAAGGGAGCAATTGCCAAGGGGCCCAGACCCTTTTACATCAAAAGCAGCCAGATAGGCATGTAGAAACTCTGGCTGTGCTGGAAGAGTGTGCCCCACAGCGCAGCTGACAGATCTTGGCAACAGCCAGTGCAGGCATAACACCATTGAAAATTAGGTGTACAGTGTTCATGTGGGCACAACCGCTGCATGTGTGGACTCCTATTGACTGTTCTGCCTTGCAGCCTGGAATTGCTCTTGGCCAGCCTGATGGCAGTGATGAACCCAGTGGATCCAAGCAGTAGAGGATTTTCCCTAGAGAGAAGAATCCACTGGTGGTAGAGTGCTGACACAGCACGTCTTATGCTGTATGGTCCTCCCAAGATCTGGATTATGGGGCATGGCTGGAGAAAGTTGGTTCACTGAGGCTTTACTGAAACTAACTGAACTTGAATGGACCTGGTAGCCTTCTATGCTGTTTTCTTTTATGGAATTTATACTTCATAACATCAGGAGTGGGGGGGAGGGGTGTTGCATAAATGGTATAATTCCAGACTGCCTCTTTCCTGGGCCAACAACTCAGCTGGATCAGATAATCTCACAAATAACTAGCAAACTTTTGGAAAATTGCTCGCTTGCTCTATGTTGGGCTTCTATTCAGTTACCAAAGAAGTCAGTTTGACTCTAATTTCATCTCTCTGGCTACTTTATTTTGTATATATGAAAGCTGTGCTGTGTTGACCAGATTCAAATGTAGGGGTGGGTATAGCGCATACCACCATAGGAAAAAAAATTCCTTGTATACATCGTTAATGGTACATTTCTCTTGAATCTTTTTTTCCAGTTTTTTGAACCCATGGCAATGCATCTTCGGAATGACCATCAGCCTGACTAATATATGGAACATACGTTTGACAAATCATTGGCCATCATATATAGCTTAGTGACTTCAAACGAGGAGTGTCTATCTCTGCCTGCTGTAAATGTAATATATAACGTATTTATGTGGGACACCATCTGGAAATTTAGGCTCTTGGCCACTTGAAGGGACAAATTCTGTACAAAGTTTTGAAGTGCTGATTTGGAGTGCAATCTCAATTTCTTGTTTTGTTAAATCACTTATGACTGAGAATTATATTTGCTCTATTATGACTATTTTAAGATAAATCTTAAATCAAAATTGATATTCCTTGTAACAACATCTCCTCTAAGTACTTTAAAGAGTACTAATGAAAACCTGATTCGGAGGTAGCATGCATAGGCTTGGCTCCACTGCAGTCAATGGGGCTGTTGTAAATTTACACCTAATATTTGCTGAAGTGTTCTGTCAGAGGGCTGAACCATATCAGTTTTTCATGATTAATGCTATACATTTGTCTGTATCCTAATTTTTATCATCTCATTTAAATGTAAATTTCAAATGAATATTCATACACTGTTATAAAAATACCAGACAACATATGCCATGATGAAGGAAACAGGTCATATAAAGCATGACTTATTAATCTGATCTGTTTAATGACAATATTGCACTTTATCTTGCCTATAGTTGTACACAGAAAAAGTACTACCAGCTCATTTGGCATCACATTTAGATTTGAAGTTCTTTATAATTTGATTCATGCTCCCATAACAAAGAAAGGTCTAGCCATTGTTGTAGTGTTTATGTTACTTATTTCTTTTTTCTGACATTTTATTATATATCTACTCTTCAGCTCCATTATCTTTGTTATTTAAGAATATAATTGGAGAGAACTTAGTCAAATAAAACCTGAACCTTCTTTCTAGCAAGTCCACTGGATATGGTAGGCGTTGAGAACAAGAACAACAGGCAGTAGAAATGAACTAAAAATTTATATTGAATTGTTGTTAATCTAAATGCAATTAAAATTAATGGAATGATTAGCTGCTACAGTTGTTCATAGATTCATTGCTAAAGATGTTTTGCTTATATAAACCAAATGTCTTTATCATGCTGAGTTTAAATTCCGGGACTAGATTCTCTACTCTTATAAATTGTCAGTTTCTCACTTACTTCTCTGGAGCTCTGGCAATTTACACCAATTTAGTGTCTGACTATTTTCCTTCTGCTTCAGTATGTATGTAGCTTCTCATGGTCTGGCAACCAGACAAAACACACTAGGGCCGTGTCCAGACTCAGGGGTTTTTTCGGGAAAAATAGCCTTTTCCCGAAAAAACTTCCCCTGCGTCCAGTCTCAAGCCGTGTTCTTTCGAAATTATTTCGAAAGAACGCGGCTTTTCTTTCGATGGCGGTAAACCTCAATTTACGAGGAAGAATGCCTTCTTTCGAAAGTTCCTCTTTCGAAAGAAAGCGTTCTTCAATGTAAAGAGGCCGTCTTCGAAAGAGAGCATCCAGACTCGCTGGGTGCTCTCTTTCGAAAAAGCGGATTTCTCTTTCGAAAGATCCGCCTGCAGTCTAGACGCGATCTTTTGAAAGAGGCTCTTTCGAAAGATGCTTTCGAAAGAGCCTCTTTCGAAAGAAGCCTGCAGTCTAGACATAGCCTAGGTTACCACCTATATGTATTTTATGTAGGGAGAGTAAGTTTCATGCTCAGTACACTTGGACTAATATAGTAGTTACAGCCTACATACAGATATGTCATTATATGCAGTTTATTTTATTCCAGAGGCAACACACTGGCATGTTAGAATGTCCTTGTAAGTGTACTGAATTATTTCTCATTTGTTCTGAAACTAGAATTGTGAAAGCTTTCTCCATTTTTAGTCTTCATGCAATCTCTTTAGTGAACATGGAGACCCCCAACTTTGTATTTTATAATTTATAAATATACAAACTACACTTTAGGAGCCCAAAGATTATTTGAATATTAAAATGGATATTTGGCTCATGTAAAATCATTTTTGTTTTATAAACATTTTATGTTATAAAATACATATACCCTCCCTTCTGTAACTAATCTACAAGAGTTTTCAAAATAGGGATAGCTCAGTGGTTTGAGTATTAGCCTGCTAAACCCAAGATTGTGAGTTCAATCCTTATGGAGGCCATTTAGGGATTTGGGGCAAAAATTTGTCAGGAATGGTACTTGGCCCTGCTGTGAAGGCAGGGGACTGGACTGAATGACCTTTCAAGGTCCCTTCCAGTTCTAGGAGATAGGCAATCTCCATTAATCTTAATTTATAATTTTAAACAATTTTCTTTATAAAATATAAAAGTATAGAGACGAAGGGAAAGTTAAACTGAAATTGAAAAAGCTTAATTATGTATTTAACCTTATTTTAGTTAAAACAGCTCAATCTAAATATAAGCTTTGGAACAAATCCTGAGAATTAGAATAATAGAATCATAGGGCTGCAAGAGACCTAAGGATGTCATTGAGTTTTGACCTCTGCCCAAAGCACAACCAATCCCAACTAAATCATCCCTGCCAGGGCTTTCTCAACCCTGGACTTAAAAACCTCTAGGGATAGATATTCCACCACCTCCCTAGGTTATGCACTCCTATACTTCACCACCCTCCTACTGAAATAGTTTTTCCCAATATCCAACCTAGACCTCCCCCACTGTAACTGGAGACCATTGCTTCTTGTTCTGCCATCCGTCACTACTGAGAACAGTCCCTCTCCATCCTCTTTGGAACCTCCTGTCAGGAAGTTGAAGTCTGCTATCACGAGTAAATAAGCCCAAATCCCTCAGCCTCTTCTCAAAGATCATGTGCTCTAGCCCCCTAATCATTTTGGTTGCCCTCCACTGGACCCTTTCCAATGCGTCCACATCCTTTCTGGGGGGCGGGGGGGCGGGAAGCCAGAACTGGGCGCAATACTCCAGATATGGCCTCACCTGTGCCAAATAAAGGGGAAAAATCAATTCTCTAGATCTTCTGGTAATGCTTCTTCTGGTAATGCTTCTTCTTCCTTGAGGCACTCTGCTTGAAACTAACCACTAACCTGACATTGAGGCATTGATCACTATCCGTTGGATACGACAATATAGCCAGCTTTCTATCCACCTTAAAGTCTATTTATGCAATCCATTCTTCCTTAGCTTGCTAGCAAGAATATTGTGGGAGACCACAAACTTTGCTAAAGTCAAGGTATATCACATCCACTGACATCCCCATGTCCACAGAGAGATTTACCTCAACATAGAAGCTAATCAGATTGGTCAGGCATGACTTGCCCTTGGTGAATCCATGTTGACTAGTGCTGATCACTTCTCCCTCTACCAAGTGCTTCAGAATGGATTCCTTGAAATTCCCCTCCATGATTTTTCCAGGGACTAAGGTAAGGCTGACTGGTTTGTAGTTCTGTGGATTGTTCTTCTTCCCATTTTTAAAGATGGGCATTTCATTTACCTTTTTCCAATCATCCGGGACCTCTCCCAGTCTCCATGAGTTTCCAGAGATAATGGCCAAAGGCTCTGCAATGATATTTGCCAACACCCTCAGTACCCTTAGATGCATTAAATTCCCATGGATTTGTGTATGTCTAGCTTTTCTAAATAGTTCTTAACCTGTTCTTTCTCCCCCGAGGGCTGCCCACCTCCTTCCCATATTGTGTTGCCTAGTGCAGTAATCTTGGAGCTGACCGTATCTGTGAAGACAAAGGAAAAAAAAAAGCATTGAGTACTTCAGCTTTTCCCACATCATCTGTCACTAGGTTACCTCCCTCATCCAGCAAAGGCCTCACACCCTCTATGATCACCCTCCTATTGCTAGCATGCCTGTAGAAACCTTTCTAGTTACCCTTCACATCTCTTGCTAGCTGCAATTCCAATTGCGCTTTCATCTTCCTGATTATTCCCCTGCATTCTCAAGCAGTATATTTATACTCCTCCCTAGTCATCTGTCCAAGTTTCCACTAGGCTACATCTACACTGGCATGAATTTCCGGAAATGCTTAAAACAGAACAGTTTTCCGTTATAAGTATTTCCGGAAAAAGAGCATCTACATTGGCAGGATGCTTTTCCGGAAAAGCCCTTTTTCTGGAAAAGCATCTGTGGCCAATGTAGACGCGCTTTTCCGGAAAAGAGCCCCAATCGTCATTTTCGCTATCGGGGCTTTTTTCCGGAAAAGACTACTGGGCTGTCTACACTGGCCCTTTTCCGGAACAGTGTTCCGGAATAAGGACTTATGCCTGAATGGGAGCAGCGTAGCTTTTCCGGAATAGCGGCTGATTTTGTACAGTAGAGCGTCATTGCTTTTCCGGAAATTCAAGGGCCAGTGTAGACAGCTCGTAGCTTATTCCGGAAAAGCGGCTGATTTTCCGGAATAAGTGGCCCAGTGTAGACACAGCCCTTGTGTTTAAGCTCTCCAATGATTTCAGTGGTGAGCCAATCTGGTTGCCTATCATATTAGTTTTTCTTACTGTGTATCGGGATGGTTTGTTCCTGTGCCTTCAATAAGGTTTCTTAAAATACAATCAGCTCCCCTGGATTCCTTTCCCCTTCATGTTAGCATCACAAGTGATCCTGTCCATCAATTTTCTGATGGAGTCAAAGTCTGCTTTTCTAAAGTCCAGGGTGTGTATTTTGCTGCTTTCCTTTATTTCTTTGGTCAAGATACTGAACTCAACCATCTCATGATCATTGCTGTCCAGGTTGCCACCCACATCTACTTCCCCTACTAGTTCCTTCCTGTTTGTGAGCAGGCAGGTCAAGCTGCACATGGTCCTAAAGCTTGCTCAGTACCTAGAGCTCCAACTGATTACAGTGTTCTAAACTATATATTGGTTCAATGCTTGTATCATAAACCTATCACAATGTATTGGCGCCTTTAAAACTGACTTTGAGCTCTGAGGTTTTGACTGTATATATTCTGTATAGTATAGGCCCAAATTCTCCTCATCTGACTTCAATGGGAATTCTTTCTTACATTGGATAACATGAACAGCAGTTGCCTCTGTGTATCTGCTTAGATATTAGTAAAAATAAATAAATCTGTTTTTGGTTCTTTAATCCTTTGCATCTTCCTTATGGGTATACTCAGTACTATATAGTAATATTAATAATGTCAAAGTTATAGCTTAAATAAATGTAATTACTTGCAACTACTATAAATTTTTAGCTATCTTGGACATATATTAGCACTGACAGCAAAAGCAAAGCAATGGAGAAGAACAGATATATAAAGAGGTTGAGACACTTGAGCATATGTAGCTGAAATGAAAATATATTAGTCTGATTCTGCACTGTGTGAAACCTATTTCCTTTTTCCTGTTTTGAATTTATCCCCATTTTAATTTCATTGAAAAGCTCTTCCCTTTTGAGACAGTGAGAAGAGAAGCTACTATTCTACTTCCTCAGTATGATTCATTTTGATATATATTTTTATTATGTCCTGCTTTCTAAGGTAAGCAATCCCAATCTTTTCAGTCTCCCTTTATGTGAGAGATATGAAAAGTGACTGCAAAAAGGCACTGTGTTGCTATAACATATATCCACTAAGCTTAGTGAAGAAAAACAGGTTATTAACAATATGGAGCCAACATAGCTGTGACAAGAGTGAGTTACATTCCATTTTGTCTCAACTATCTTAAGCAAAAATTCCATTTGAACTCTGATACCAAAATGTTTTGACAGAAGATGTACAAAAGAATAAAAATGACGCTTGATTTTCAGATATCAGCTTGATGTTACTATGCTGGAATATTGTGTGTCATCTGAATACACTAGACATAGAAATCACTGTCAACGTGTAAATATGATACACACACACAGAGCCATGCCACTTTTGCATTCCAATTTCCAGTCATAACTACATGATAAATCTTTCAGAGCATCATTTATACTGTATAGTAATAGAGAGGTAGCCATGTTAGTCTGATCTGAGGAAGTGGGTCTGGCCCATGAAAGCTCATCACCTATTAAAACATCTTATTAGTCTTCAAAGTGCTACATAGTTTTTCCTTTTATTTATACTGGAGGGCTACGTCTAGACTGGCATGATTTTCCGGAAATGCTTTTAATGGAAAACTTTTCCGTTAAAAGCATTTTTGGAAAAGAGCGTCTAGATTGGCATGGACGCTTTTCCGCAAAAGCACTTTTTGCGGAAAAGCATCCATGGCCAATCTAGACGCGCTTTTCTGCAAAAAAGCCCCGATCGCCATTTTCGCGATCGGGGCTTTTTTGCGGAAAACAGATCTGGCC